AAAGACAAACATGATATGTACTCACTCATATATGGATTTTAGACATGGATCAGGATAGTGCCAGTCTGCACTTCCACTGACAGAGTGTCTGGGAAACAGGAAAGAACCTAAGAGGATAAGCATGGTACCCCAGAGAAGAGGAATGAGGCAAGAGCTTCTGAACAGATTGGGAACACTGGGAAAGGTGGCAGGGAGTGGGAGCTGGGAAGAAGAGAAGAGAGGGGGAGAAGAGGAAGAGAGAGTAGGCCATGGGGGAACAGGAAGGTTCAGTGGGGGCGTAGAATAGGGGGAGAACATGATGAGAAATACCATAATAGAGGGAGTCATAGGTTAGAAGAGAGATCTGGCACCAGTGAGACCTCTTGTGATCTAAAGGGATGACACCAATTGGCAAGCTAAGCAATAGTGGAGAGACCACCTTAAATGCCCATTCCTGATAATGAACTTGATGTCTACCCAATATGCCATCCTAGAACCTTCATCCAGTGACTGATGGAAGCAGAGGCAAACACCCACAGTTAAACACTGAACTGAACCCATGGAACCCAGTGACAGAGAGAGAGGAGCGATGAGCAAATTGGCAAAGAATGGGCTGGCGAAACCAGCAGAGACAGCTGATCTGAACAAGAGGGAGCTCTTGGACACCAGACCAACAGCTGGGAGGACAGCATGGGACTGACCCAGACCCCCTGAATGTGAGAGTCAGTGAGGAGGCCTGGGCAACCTATGGGGCCCTAGGCAGTAATCAGTGTTTATCCCTGGCATACAAACAGACTTCGTGTGTCCACACAAAGAGTTATGCTCTCTCAGCCTGGACTCTTAGGGTAGTGCCTGGACCCTGCCCTGAGTGAAATTACAGACTCTAGATATCCCCTATGTGGAAGGATAGGGTGGGAGGCTGGGGGGATGGTGGGGAGTGTGGGGGGGAGGGGAGGGAGAGGGAACTGGGATTGACATGTGAAGAAAGCTATTTAAAATTAACGTAATAAAAAAAGGAAAAAAAAGTCAAACTAAAAACTTCAAGTCAGGAACAAGTCTCAGTCAAGAAATTGTGCAGGAGAGAAAAACAAGAGATGCTACTCTCTCATGTGATTTGTACTACAATTTAGTTTTGGAAGATTAGCCTAACTGCCTGATCTGCATAGAGCAGGTCTCTTTGGATAGGACTACAATAAGATATTCAGCGGAGCAACCTTTCACTTTGAGCCGTGCAAACACATATTTTAAATTCTTCTAAATAACTCTTGATTGTAGTACTTTCTTAAATTGTTAATAATGAGAGTTCACTCAAGACCTCTTCAGATGGATCTGAGTCTTTTTTCCCTGTGTTTCGATGAAAGGATTTAGCAGAGCTCAAGAGTACACATCATTGACAAGGGCTGATATAACCAAACAACAAATGATAATCACTACATTTTTACCAAAAGCACCCTTTAAAGTAGAGAGAAATCAAGACAAAATCTTATTCCTTTTTATAATCTACTAAAAGTGTTTGACTTTACACCATGTTTAGCAACAATAACAGCAGGGTTTTTTTTTTCATTAGAACTATCCTGGGAAATACTTTAAATTGTCTTCTCAGATACAGCTTATCCTACCATCTGTCACTGCTGCTGAAAATTAAACAATGAATGCAAACACATGTTTGTGTCTAATCTTTTGAGGTTAACTGATTTCCCAGAAAGATGGGAACAAATAATCTCAGCAATTGCTTGCTGCCTAGCATTGTCCCATGTCCTCTGTGGTTGCTTTTAAGACTCAGTCCTAAAGAGAGAGGCAGAGAAGACCCAGATTGGCCTTCTTGATAAGTACTGTAGCTGGTGTGGCTCAGGACTTGCCTGGGACACAGAAAACTGTGAGTATCTCGTTTCTTAGATTGAGGTGGGAATAGTGAGGAGTGCCAATGTGTTTGAGTGTTCGTGGGGATTTGGAAGGATGTTGGAGAGGAATTGTGTTCTCCATGGTGTGTGTGTGGGGGGGGGAGAAGCCTGAAGTGGTTTATAAGCTGAGAAGCAATTGATAGAGGAGGGGTTATTAACAAAAGAGGGGGAACATTTGAAAGAATTTTCCTGGATAAAAAGACATCATATGCAAGGGACCATGGCAATTTAGAATACACAACACATAACGTGACAGAGAAGTACTTTTCAGACATTAGTGGGCATGGACGTCACCTGACTTTGACATCAAATTTTCTATTCTAATTCAGTAGTTATGAAGAAGAACCCAAATTCACAGATTTCTTTTTTTTTTTTGGTTTTTTTTTTTTTTAACGAGACAGGGTTTCTCTGTATTGTTTTGGAGGCTGTTGGTCCAGGCTGGCCTTGAACTCACAGAGATCTGCCTGCCTCTGCCTCCCGAGTGCTGGGATTAAAGGCGTGCACCACCACCGCCCGGCCAATTCCCAGATTTCTAACAAGTCCCAGATTCATACAACTGGTGATGGTTCCTGGACCATGACTGAAGTAGGAATGCATAAAAAACTTGTCTCTGGGGAAATCATGTGACCCTGGTTGTTGGCCTACTCCCTCACTCCACATGAGTCAATGATACAGGCAGTGTAGTGTCAGCTGAACACCTCTTTGTTCACAAATGACTTTTTTACTGTAAAGAAGGAGTCTTGGTGGAGGACAAGCTTAAAATCACTCCTTCCCATCATCCTTTGCTTTATATCTCCTTTTCTATTTTATCTTCCTTCTCATTGAAACAGATTTTATAAGCTCCCACATGAAAACCATCTGGCTAGCCTTAATAAATATTATCAACACTTGTCAAATCAAAGGACAATGCCCCAGGGAAGAATTTACAGGCTTGCCCATTAGATCAAGTTATAGAACTGCAACGTGTGTCTTCACAGTGATTCTTTTCAAATCAACATGAGCTCATATTAATAGACACATTTGCTTCATGTCACTAACATCTTGTACCCTCCTGAAGAAGTCTAAATTTTACCTCTCTGGAGAATAAAAACAAAATCCTTGTAAAAATTCAAACTTCCCACCTCTATCCCAAATGCCATGGGACAGATGGAGACAATTTTGGAATCATATACTGAAAATCCACACTATATAACATGGTTTTTAAAAGGCAGACCATCCTACACTTTGATTGTAGATATTAGATGTCATTGAAGCCCTATCTTTGGTGATTTCGGAGACAAGGAGGTGTATCTGCTTCCAACATTGGTGTGGTGAAGCTGCATAATGCTTGCCATTAAGTAATATACTATACTACTTTATACCTATGATGTCACTTGATTCCTCATTTAATTCTCACAACAGTAATTATATGTATGTATGGATGGATGGATGGATGTGTATGTGTCTGTACATAGCTAACTTATTCATTACTTCTATAGTCTTGCTTGAACAAATGGAATGAACCATGTAGACAAGTAACAAAGCTTAAATTCCTATGTACATATTTACATCCAACTAGTGTGTCACAGCACTAAAAGGAGACAGACTATCACCAAGAAATCAATGGGCAGAGTTTCTATTTCTTCTTTTTAATGGTTGAGTGAACAGTTCTAAAGCTTTTGAGCACTGTACCATGCATCCTAAAGTCTGGGAGTAGATGCTTGGTGGGCAGGTAATAAGTTTTACTCTTCTTCATTTCCACATCACACTCTTGTGACTTGGGGTCTAATCAACTCTATAAACCAGATGAAGTTCCTTCTAGAGCAGTTGGAGTTTGTCGACTTGCTATTTCTACTGTTTCTCATCAGCAGCGAGTCGTCTGGGACCTTTCTCAATTTTACTTCTTAACCCTTCTACTTCCAATTCTTAAGTTCCCTAGCCCCATAAAAAAGATGTGAAGAATGCCTAACTCTGGACCTAAGTCCTACAGTGATTGCTAGATTTCATCCACCAGCTTACCAAAGCTACCTGGGGAAACAATAGCAACAAGATGCAGAGTTAGCTTCTTGAATCCCTATCCGGAGCCTGAATGACTCTGAAAAGGAATAATGCATTATTTTCTTTATTCATGGACCAGGTGTGGTGGCTGAGATTAGCTTATCTCTGATCTTGTCTATCACATGTCAATAATTTATGACCTATAGTAACCTATTATTCCTTCTTTGCATCTTTCTTCCCTCTTTTACTCTATTTGTCCATATTTCCCTTGCTTCTTCTATGACTATTGCCTTTAATTTACTTTTTCTACTGACTTTTCCTTCCACAAGTAAAGAAAATGTGGGCATTGCCCTTCCTTTTATATTGAATTCATTGTAGTCCTCAGGGCATCAATTACTCAGAAAGTAACACATGAAAAGTTTGAACTCTGTGGAAGTTTGGCTGGATCCTGTGATGTGTCACATAACACCATTATCTACTGTAATTAATGGAAATGTAAACAGACTACACTCATATCCTGATCTCATAAACCAATTTGTGATCTGAAAGGAGAATAGGGTTCTACTAGGAACTTTGTTTATTTGAATTGATTTACTTTTTTCAAGAAAAGCTAACTACATCTCAGAAAATTTCATAGGAAACCATTAGATAATGGTATCTTCAATGAATTGTGCATATTCTATGTGATGGCCAACAATCATGGCAAAGCATGTCTTAAATATGAGGATGTCTTTAGATTCCAAATTGTGATATTTTTCAGAAGGAAGACAATACTTAGAAATGCTTTAAAAAATCACTGGGCTTTTTAGCATTATAGGGGGCTGAATTTTCAACTGTCAGCTATATAATGAAAAGAGATTTTGAAAATAAATAAAACGTTCGGTTTTTATCACCTTTTAAAATGTAACAATAATTCTGATGCTGGCTGGGCATTGGTGGCACACGCCTTTAATCCCAGCACTAGAGAGGCAGATGCAGGTGGATCTCTGTGAGTTCCAGGCCAGTCTGGTCTACAGAGTGAGTTCCAGGATTCCCTCCAAAATAATACAGAGAAACCCTGTCTCGAAAAAACAAAACAAAACAAAACAAAGAAACATTGACGCAGTTCTGTATAGAGACAAACCCAGCAAAGTTTGGTGCAGATATGGGAAAGCATTTCATGTTTTGAAAACAGACAAGTTGAAGGACATTCTATCACTGTGGAGGTGGTAAGGGGGTGACTGGCTGACCACATGTTCTTTCTGGTGTCATATCATGCTACATTCCTGGCTAAAATCATTTTTTATCTTCATTTTGAAAAAATGAGATGAGTGATTTATGATATGTTGATTTGGCAGAGCTGAATTAATGTGACAAGTGAAAGTGGTTTTTAAAACTGCTTAAGAAAAGTGGCTAGCACCATTAGAAGCTGGACATGAGGGACTGTGTCCATTTCAGCACTGTGGGAAGCAAGGGCTTGCTGTTTTCTGTTCACAGTGTGATTGTCCATCCTATCTCCAATTCCCATCGTGAATCCAGCAAGGAAAGGCCAGTTGGAGCAGGAAGACTGGTGGTATTGAGAATAATCAGAAAAGATGGGTTTGACATCATGCAATGCTTGATTTGCAGTGCATTTCTAAATAGACAGGCGACTCACTGGACTATGCTCTCTTTCTTTTGCATCTGGGGCACATACAGCAACGCGGAGTCACCACTGATGCATGAAGTTTTGGAACCACAGCAGAGCAGTAGCAGTGCAGCGGGCAGCCTGGCTGGCTCCATCACGGCCTGTAAGAAGGTAACCCTTCCTCATGACACTTTCTTCCCGCCAGTGGAACAGCAGCTAAGCTTGGTCTTTCAAGCATGTTTCCTTATGTAGAGACAACCAGGGAAATAACCAAATTACCCACATTTTGCTTTTCCAAGTATGTCTTGAAGACACTTTTTAAAAATGCAATTCATAGGAATGATTAAATCACTGAGCAATTCCTAAAGTCCTAACTTGAAAATGATAAGCCTCCATTGCCCAACTAACCCAATCCCACATTGTTCCCCAGGACCTAGACCCAAAGACAGTCACAGAAAGGAGCCACTTGAACATGGACAGTCTTCCTAGGTTTTCAATGTTTTGTACTGTTTTGAGTTATGTCATATGGAAGCCAAATTTATGACTACCCAAGGGTAGAGTTTGACCTCCCAATGTGTAGGGTATGCTAGGCTTACCTTACATGTAGAAACACATTTCCTAAAATCTTGGTCAAACAGATGTCTTGCTTTATAATACTTGCAGAAGATTATTGTTTGTGCAACAAAAAATACTCTAATTTAACCACATCTTTTTTTTCTGTCAGTTTAACTAAGACCCGAATCTTAAAGCAAAATGTCTAAGATTCTGATCCTCCAGTTAATAGTTTGTCATGATTGTATACTGGTTAATGGAGAACCATGGGGTGCTTCTCATTCAAAATTAGAGAATACCACACTGGGGTATTTCACTTATTGCAATAGATATTTTTAATTATACAAACACACATGTATAAATTAAGACAAATTATTTTACTAAATATATACACACTACATATATTCATGTGTGTATATATTGCATGCATATCAAGTTGTTGAGTACTATGCCCACTTAATCAGCCTGTTTATCCTCTTACCTATGTAACTGTTTTTATAAATTGATAGTTTTAAAGTATTAGCAAACATATGCACTAGAAAGCAGAATCTATAGAAAAGAAATAGTAAGTACAATTTTACTAATGTATTTTCATTCTCTCTACACAAGCTTTCCTCAGTTGACAGAAAAAAATTAAGATAAATAAGTTTAAATAGGAGAGATTTACTTCAGTTCATAATTTCAGTGGTTCAAGTCTATGGTCTCTTGATTATGTTGTTTTGTGTTTGTAATGAATTAGAACAATGGTATAGGAATACGTGAGAGTGAAAGCCAAGATTCCTCTATCCCCATCAGGGATCATAGAGGGATCATGCCTTCCATACTCCAGCTAAACACTCTGTCTCTTCTCATTGATAGCACAGGCTTGGGACCAAATGTCTAACCATAGTCTTTGCGAGCCGTTTTACAATGAAATCTACCTCACATATTCACTCAAAATCAAATATAGAATAAATATGTCTAACTAATTAAGAACTCTTAATAAGATATATTATGATGTTTCCTGTTATAAATTATCTATAGGGAAATTGATGCTTAAATCCCAATTAGCATAGGACCCTGAGGTGAGGCCCCACAACTCAATTTTTTTTTAACCTTATATAAGAGGAGTAAGCTGCAAGCCTCCAAACCTTAGGTACATTTCTGAGTCTGTAACTTCAAATCATGTAGTACTTACCAGATGCTATGTATATCATAAACCCAGTGGATTTTCTAAGTATTCTAATGTCTAAGGCACAGGCATTCCTGTTGATGAAAGTCTGTGTGGTGTTTGAAATGATTATAGCCACAATACCTGGATCTGACACCCAGATCCTCATTCATTGTGAGTTGTGTGATTTTCAGCAAATGACTAGGTCTGGATGACTCGACTTCCTTATCTGAAAAATTAAGATAATAATATTACCTACCTCAAAGGAGTGAGACAAGAACAGAATGAGACAACAGACATGAAGTGCTGAGAACCATGTCTGGCATATCCTAAACACCCCCAAAGAAAGACTACCTACTACTAATGTTATTAGACAGAGTAATTTTATCAAAGCATGTACAGTCCCAGAAAAATAACTTAATAATGAGAAGGTAATTCATGGTGTTAGCTTAGTTACAGTCATTTCTGTGGGGAAAAGGGTGGTCATGCCCCGTTCTGTTTTAAAACTAATGTCTGGAAGCTACTGAACTGACACCTTGTAGAAGCAGGGTGCTTACTCAAAAAATTAAAAGAGTCAAGAGTGATGAGAAGAACCTGAATAATACAGCAATTTATCTATATAGCAAGATAACACCTCAATTAAAACAAGTTAAACCCAAAACTCAAGTATAAGATTTTACCATCATATACATGCAATATTTCTGTATATTCATATGAATAGATATTTATGTATAAACAGATAAGGTTTAAAAGTTTTAAATATAGACTCACTCATTTTACAATTGTTAATATGTTTAATCACACAAAACTACCTTTTATTACAGACCTAAAGTAATGAAACATAGGTAATTTCATGTGGTTCAACTTAAATACATGCAAAGGCCTCTGCAATCTTGAAGGTAGATACAAAGATGCATCACAAACTGCCCTGAACAGAAAAGTTGTGATCTAGTTTAATAGGCAATTTAGTTTTCTCATGTGGAAAGTAAAGCAAGAATTCACAAGTTAATTATCGCCATATCTTGAGACAATCTAAAATATGTGAGAAATGAGTTCTCCCAATAAGCATGCTTGTTTTCTAATGAAAGACAAGAAGGGAGTGGATGCAGATAGGATGGGAGGTTAGGAGGAATCTGGAGGAGTGGAGAGAGGTAAATCTACAATAAGGATATGTGAGAGAAAATCTGTTTCAATAAAATGAAAAGAAGAAGAAGGATCAAGAGGTAAGAGAGAACCCAGGAGGCAGCAGTTGCTACAGGGAAATACTTTAGGCCCCATTCATGGTGAGCATCTGAATGGGTGAACCGAATGTCCAATGGTCTGCTGCTAATTAGCCAAGAGCTTTGTGTACTTCTAAGTTTAAAAATATCCATAGCATACCCCATTTATTTCAAGTATTTTCTATAATTATATTTAAATGATTGTTTAATTGTAATTGTTTAATGACAGTCACAAACCATTTGGGGTGAAATTGTTTGTGTCACCTTAAAAAGGATCTCAGAGACTAGGGAGATGGTTCACTGGGTAGAGAGCTTGCTGTGAATGTGTGATGGTCTGCGTTTGGGTCCCTAGAACTCATATAAGTCAGAGACAGTGTCATAAGCCCTTGTGATGTCAGGTGCTCCTTCCAGATTGGAAGCTGAAACAGGAGAAACACTGGAAATTCCAGATGCCAGAAGTAAGTTGTCATGTAGCATTCACAGCAGTGAACAACCAGAGAGAGCCTGTCTCAAACATGATGCAAGGCAAGGACTTACACCCAAGCTTGTCCTTTGACCTTCATACTAGCACCATGCTCTGGCAACCTACACTCACACCAATGAACACACACACACACACACACAAATTCATAATACCTAACCCTCCCTAGTACCCAGAACATAGGCTCTTAGCATGAAGACACTGAATGATTCAATGCCTTTATTACCATTACTTCCAAGTCATCTCAATGACTGTTGATCACTTTTTCAAGTCTCGTTAATCAGATAAAAGGACTGGGGAAGTGAGCATCTCATGTTCATAAATGTGCATATACAGAACAATGGCACCCAGGCTTATAGCTTTGACATTTGGGAGTACCAGGCAAATATTTAAGGCAAGCCTTGATTACATACCTGATCATTCTGGGCTACAAAATGAGACATTGTCTCAAAGGTACACACATAGGCATATGCATCACATTCATTGGCATCTACTGGTAATTTCCAAACTCATCCAATGTAATAACAGCCTCAGCTTCTTCCTCATCAAACCTTCTTGTCAGAACTGATATATTGCTATCCTAGCTGAAAGAAGAAGAAAGGCAAGGATCAGAGAAGATAACAATAACTACACACTGAAAAGCACCAAAGTGATGGTTTCTTTCGTGTGGAACACAGGGGATCTCTCAGGGCTTTGGAATCTTTCACTTTTTGTCAAATGGTTAGATGTTCTCTTGTACATCCATTCTATAGCAATAAAGGAATGGAGACTTGGGGGGAGGGCAGGGTGATAGAGATATGGCTCAGCAGCTAAGAGTACTAGCTGTTTTTCCAGAGGATCTGAGTTCAACTCCCAGCACCTACATGGTGGCTCAAAATCATCTGTAACTCCAGTTACTGTGGATCTGATGCCCCCCTTTGGTCTATTCCCACACTGCATGCACATAATGCACAGACAAGCACAGGCAAAATACATATAAAAACAATAAAATTAAAATAGTAATAAATGAAAACTTTTTAAAAGAAAGGAAGTAGAAAGTTATCATATTAAAATAGTGTTTTTAAAAGGCTAAACTAGAAAGCCTAGAGGTAAGTTTTTGGATCCAAGCATGCCTAGATTCTAGGATGCCAGGAAGGGGCACTTCATGAGGTAGAATAAGCAGGATGAGGAGAAGTGCCTATGTGGGAACAGTGGAAAGGGAGAAGGGGAACCACCATGAGACAAGTATGAAAGGCAGGCTCAGTAAAGCTGCACGGCAGTAAATGCTACACAGATGACCTCTGAGCATTTGAGTGGTGGTCCATTTGGGATCCTCCAGAGGCACAAGGAAAGCGCTGAAGAAAAGGAAAAGATAAGCAGGAGTCCAGAATCTATCCCATTGCAGCTGAAGAGCATACACCAAGATTGCCTCTGACCTCCAAAGGGAGCTTCTGCTCATCCTGAGCCACTTCGCATGTAGACAGTTTCGGGGTTGTACTGAGGACAAAATGCAAATAGCAAAGGCTTCCAGCAGGGACTCATTTCCTCTGCTGTCAGTAAAAACAGGTCATGATTCTAAATGTCTTCTCTTGTCATTGGGCGGTCAAGTTCACCCTGAACCAGAGAGGCTGCCTCTACTTCACCACCAGTTTATGATTTGGAAAAGGTTCACATTGTGACCTTTTGTGGGATGGTCTATCTAAAGCTATCAATTGCAGTTTAATGTTCAATATGAATATTTAACTCTCTGTATTCTGAAAGTTGATATAATGGAGGAATTTTTTGCTAATCCTCCTTTCCTCCAATAATTTTGTTATCCAATGATCAAAAGTCAATGTGTCAGTCTTATTCTCATGTCTTTTCTGTTATGTTGGAACAGGCCCGGAAGGATCTTGCAGAACTTTTTCTTTCTTTTAAACCAAAAAAGTAGGACTCTGACAACCCAAAATAGCTTAGAATATTTTGTGAAAATTGAGCAATACTATGCTTTTGGAATTAAATCTTTCCTTATGAGTACTTGCAATTAGCATAAACTTTCTTTTAACTGTAAACTAAATATATCTCTCCAGTAACGGAAGGGCTCTTGAGTTTTGAAAACACAATCTGGCATTTGAAGTTCACTTTTTCTCCTGGGGTACTTAGAGAAAGACTCCCCCCGCTCACTGTCAGCAGCATCAAAGGCTATTCTCTTTTCTCTCAGTCCTGTATCTAAAAACTCCTTCACTTTAGAAGTCTATAGTGGGCTCTCCTCTCTTCCCCTGACAGCATACATCTTTTCTCATTTCCTACCAGGTTTATCCTCTTTCTTACAATGCCTAGCTTTCCAATCCACCAATTTCAAAGAAGAAAGAAGGATATAGTTGATGTGCTAGGTGCACCTTTGCCTCAGACATTGCTCTGGGAGAGCCTGTTCATTAGTGTGTCCAGGTTGACTAGGCTGATTTCTCCCATTTGTGAAAGTGACCCACCCTGGAAGACTTAACCCATGGCTCTTACACTCCCAGAAAAAGAACTTCCATGAGTAAATGTGCTTCTAAAGTTACATGTCTACTTCAATGTTTCCAACTAGCTTTTTGTTCCAATGGCTTCTTCTGGAGGAAAATTCTATTTGAGCAAAGAGAATTACCACTTCTTTTTAGTTGTCTGGGGGCAAAAAGTATTTAATAATGAAGTGAAAGACCACTATTAAAGTCATGCCCCTCTATCCAATGGTAAATTCTGTACTGTATACCTAAATAAGAAAAATCTAAAATCAGTAGTAGCCTTTGGGGTATTTTATAAATACAGATATATATCCTTCACAAGTGATTTTTCATATATTTTGCATAGCTTAACATTAAAATAGTATTTCCTTTCACTGATCTTACCAATGTACAGTATTAGACTGGTTCCGCACAGCAATTATGTAGCAATTAATCAACTTCCTTCTATTTGTAAATATAACTTGATTGTGTTCAAGCCATTGTGGACCATTCATAAATTAGGCTATATTTTCATTTCCTGAATGTCTGCTTCTGCCATGCCCTCATTTTTTACTCTAGACTCAAACCTGCTTATACTGGCATGGAAAAAGTGCTGATCAACTTTGAAAGTTTTTTTTTCCTGGGCAGCTGACATCCGTGGGATGTGACAGAAGTAGGAAAAAGCAGCCTGCTACTTCTTCAACAGTCCCAAGGATTTCTCAAACTTTGGATTGTCTTTGTCCTCTTAACCAGTTCTGGGAACTACAGTGAGATGTAGTGCAGCTTCTAGGAGGCATGTAACTAAGGATCACAAGTAAAGTGACAAGAAATCCAGGATATGCAGAAACTGTATTACTCAATGCTTGCCTCATAAGGGTGCACAATAACCCAGGTTAGCATACAAAGTGGCTAAGCAATGCAGATGAAGTAATAACCTCATCCCATTTTTCCATGAAGCATTTCCATTTTTCCATGAAGCATTTCCATTTTATATTCAGATACATTTCATAAGTCAGTATTTTACTTATTTGCCAGCAACAAGCTTAATTAAACCAAGTACTGGTACTAAAAGCATTTTATAAATAAGTACTCTCCTGCTATAAAAAAAAATTTAGCCAAGGCAGTCCCTAGTATGTTAACCATGATGCTTGATTATCTAAAGTGACTGAATCCCTTCCCATTCCCCCTCTACATCAAGGGGCAGAATGCATTGCAATCCCGCACAAAACCCTTTCCTCTCAAGGCTTTCACCTGGTTTTTGCTATGCTGTGATTCCTCCTTGACACTCTCTCCATACCTTTTCAACATGGTACTTGAAGTTCTAGCTATTGCCATACGACAACAAAGGGGGATCAAGGGGATACAAATTGGGAAGGAAGAGGTCAAACTTTCACTGTTTGCAGACGATATGATAGTTTACATCAGTGACCCAAAGAACTCTACCAGGGAACTCTTACAACTGATTAACACCTTCAGCAAAGTGGCAGGCTACAAGATCAACTCAAGAAAATCAGTAGCCCTACTATATACAGATGATAAAAGGGCTGAAAGAGAAATCAGAGAAACATCACCCTTTACAATTGCCACAAACAACATAAATTACCTTGGGGTAACGCTAACCAAACAAGTGAAAGACCTGTATCGTAAGAACTTTGAATCTTTAAAGAAAGAAATTAAAGAAGCCCTCAGAAAATGGAAAGATCTCCCATGCTCTTGGATAGGTAGGATCAACGTAGTAAAAATGGCAATCCTGCCAAAAGCAATCTACAGATTCAATGCAATCCCCATTAAAATCCCAGCACAGTTCTTCACAGACCTTGAAAGAACAATAATCAATTTTGTATGGAAAAACAAAAGACCCAGGATAGCCAAAACAACCCTGTTCAACAAGGCAACGTCCGGAGGCATCACCATCCCTGACCTCAAGCTCTATTATAGAGCTATAGTCCTGAAAACAGCTTGGTATTGGCACAAAAATAGACAGGTAGACCAATGGAATCGAATTGAAAACCCCGATATTAACCCACACACGTACGAACATCTGATCTTTGACAAAGAAGCTAAAAATATACAATGGAATAAAGAAAGCATCTTCAACAAATGGTGCTGGCATAACTGGAGACTGGCATGTAGAAGAATGCAGATCGATCCATGTCTATCGCCATGCACAAAACTTAAGTCCAAATGGATCAAAGACCTCAACATAAATCCAGCCACACTGAACCTCTTAGAAGAGAAAGTGGGTGGTACCCTTGAACGAATTGGTACAGGAGACAGCTTCCTGAATATAACACCAGTAGCACAGGCAGTAAGATCAACAATTAATAAATGGGACCTACTGAAACTGAGAAGCTTCTGTAAGGCAAAGGACACAGTCAGCAAGACAAAAAGGCAGCCCACAGAATGGGAAAAATATTCACTAATCCCACATCTGACAGAGGGTTGATCTCCAAAATTTACAAAGAACTCAAGAAGCAAGTCTCCAAAACAGCAAAGGACCCTATTAAAAAGTGGGCTGCAGAACTAAATAGAGAGTTTTCAATAGAGGAGTCTAAAATGGCTGAGAGGCACTTGAGAAAGTGCTCAACATCCTTAGCCATCCGGGAAATGCAAATCAAAGCAACTCTGAGATACCATCTCACTCCTGTCAGAATGGCTAAAATCAAAAACACCAATGACAATTTATGCTGGAGAGGGTGTGGTGAAAGGGGGACACTCCTCCATTGCTGGTGGGAGTGCCAACTGGTTCAGCCACTTTGGAAAGCAGTATGGAGATTCCTCAGAAAAATGGGAATAAACCTACCACAAGACCCAGCAACTGCACTCTTAGGCATATATCCAAAAGATGCCCATTCATATAACAAAGATGTCTGTTCCACTATGTTCATAGCAGCTTTATTTGTAATAGCCAGAACTTGGAAGCAATCTAGATGTCCCTCACCCGAAGAGTGGATAGAGAAAATGTGGTACATCTACACAATGGAGTACTATTCAGCAGAAAAAATAACGGAATCATGAGATTCGCAGGCAAATGGATGACACTAGAAGAAACCATCCTGAGTGAGGTAACCCAGTCACAAAAAGAGAAACATGGCATGTACTCTCTCATATATGGATTTTAGACATAGATCCGGGGAGTGCCAGCCTACAATCCTATGGCCAGAGAGTCTGGGAAACAGAAACTACATTTAGTGGCTGGTCAAGTACTGAGCTGAACTCAAGAAAGCCAGTATCAGAGAGGGAGGACTGATGATCAAAGGGATTAAGACTGGGCTGGTTTAACCCCCAGAAACAGCTGACCAGACAAAGGTTAACTCTAGAATCCCAGGCATCAGCATGGGACTGATCAAGACCCCCTGAATCTGGGTGTCAGTGAGGAGGCCTAGGTAATCTATTGAGCCTTGGGCAGCAGATCAGTACCCATACCAAGTATACACACGGACTTTGGACTCCCATAGAACAATGTGAGGTGCACTCTCACCCTGAACTCTTGGGAAAGGGTCTAGGCCCTGCCCTATATGAAATGACAGACTATGGACACCCCCGTGGAGGGCCTCACCCTCCCTGGGGGAATGAGGGGATAACGGGGGGGGGGGCATGCGGGGAGGGCACGGGAGGAGGGGAGGGAAAGGGAGAGGGACCTCGTACTGACTTGTGAAGCAACCTTGTTTCTTATCTAAATTTAAAATGGAAAATAAAAAATATTAATAAAAAAAAAAGAAATTGCTTTATTCTAAACACTAAACGAATCCCTGTCCTTTTCTAACAATCAGTTAGAACATATTTGAGTCTAGGCAAGTGTCAATAACATAATTCTAGAATCTTTTACCTCTAAACAAAAAGAATTGCAAGGTATATCCCATGAATAGTCATTATTCATACACTAGAATCCGGTTCCCTCTTATAAAAGGAGGCTAACACACAAAAACCCAGTCATCCAGTTAAATTATCATTGAAAGGAAAATGTTGCCTTGACGTTTGGTTAAACCCAATATGAAAGGCATTTCAATGCCACCTTTCCTTCTACACAATCCTCTTATTTGTGTCATCGTTTCTGCTCTGGAGTTTGGTGTGCTTTAAATAGACTTTGTGTGATTTCCCTTTGAAATAATGGAAGGCATTTTATCCAGGAGTAGACTACAGAAGACTCCAAAAGGAAAATTAGCAAAGGCATACATTAAATCAACAGGAGCTGAAATGTATGAAACTGAGCAAAATCTGAATTCTGAGCCTCGTGTGAGTGTGTGTGTGTGTGTTAGACTTTTAAGCTATTATAAACTTAATTTAATAAATACAATTAATCCATTGACTAAACATTCCAAAATTGTAATAACATTTCAGAAAAATTATCTTAGCATGCCCCCAGACATTGAAAATTCTCAGTCCTAGCTTAGCCACAGATGTCTTCTTATCAAAAAATAAAAGATACTTTTACTACTTCTGGGAAATTTCATTTCCATAAACTCTCTCCCCAGGCCATTATGGGCTCTTTTCTGTCCTTCAAATGCACACTCCTGCTTTGAGTCTCCATTTGTGCTCTTGACCTCTGCCTGGGCCGCTGCTCTTTCCTTGGATAGGAGTGTGACTGACGCCTTGCTTCATTCAGATCTCTGTTCCATGTTATCTTTACAACCTTCAAAATTCTTTTAGCATAGTGTTAGAGAGCCCTGCCAAGATATACTTTCCAAAATAGCATCTTACTTCTTTGAGCCTCCATCCGGTATGGGTCTTCAGTGTAGTTTTCACTATCTGACATATATGTTTATTAATTATTCCTTTGATTGCAATCCTGCCACAATAGAACAAAACAAGATTCTATGTATATTTCTATTTTTTATTTCGCCCACTGATTCCCCAGTTAAATAAGCAATGCCTAGTGGAAAACAGAAAGAGTAAAACAAGTAGCTGTGTAAGTGAAAGTGAGTGAAAACCTAGCACAGACGCCATATCCTTCTCTTATTATGGCATTGAAAAGCTTTCTTATGTCTTTTTTATTTTTAAATTTCAGTTAGAAACAAGGTTGCTTCACGTGCCAATCCCAGCTCCCTCTCCCTCTCTCTCCCCTCCTCCCATACCCTCCCACAAACCCCCATGCCCCCCAATCCCCACTTCTTTCCCCAGGAGGGTGAGGCCCTCCATGGGGGGTATCCATAGTCTGTCATTTCATCCAGGGCAGGACCTAGGCCCTCCCCCAACAGTCCATGCTGAGAGAGCATCTCTCATTTTGGGATGGACACCCAAATTCCATTTGTATGCCAGGGATAAATACTGATCTACTGCCCAAGGCCCCATAGATTGCCTAAGCCTCCTCACTGACACCCACATTCAGGGAGTCCGGATCAGTCCCATGCTGAATTACCAGCCATCAGTCTGGGGTTCAAGAGATCCCCCTTGTTCAGGCCAGTTGTTTCTGTTGGTTAAACAACCCCAGTCTTGACCCCTATGCTCATCAGTCCTCCCTCTCTGTCATTGGGGCCCTTGAGTTCAGTTCAGTGTTTGGCTGTGGGTGTGTGCCTCTGCTTCCATCAGTCATTGGTTGAAGGTTCTGTTTCCCAGACTCTCTGGCAGCGGGATTGTAGGCTGGCACTCCCCTGATTCATGTCTAAAATCCATATATGAGTGAGTACAAACCATGTTTGTCTTTTTGTGAATGGGTTACCTTATTCAGGATTGTTTCTTCTAGTGCCATCCATTTGCCTGCAAATTTCAAGATTTCATTGTTATTTTCTGCTGAGTAGTACTCCATTGTGTAAATGTACCACATTTTCTCTATCCACTCATCAGTTGAGGGACATCTAGGTTGCTTCCAGGTTCTGGCTATTACAAATAATGCTGCTATGAACATAGTGGAACAGACGTCCTTGTTGTATGAATATGCATCTTTTGGGTATATGCCTAAGAGTAGAATTGCTGGGTCTTGTGGTAGGCTGATTCCCATGGCACACATACACACACAGACTCAAAGACACACACACACACACACACAGACTCAAAGACACACACACACAGACACACACTGAGATTTGAAGCTAGGTGTGTCTTCAAAGCACATTCTTCCATCTTGGTTTCAGTAAACTACATAGATCTGAGAGGTAAGGAGGATAGAAGTAGAAAAAGCAATCAAAGCATGACTAGTTAGGATTCTATATGTTCCCAATGGACTCCCAACGTTCCCTGTCACATAGCATTCCTGTCTTAGAACATTTGGGTGTCACAGATGTGTTCATATGCATTAATAATGTTACTCACTGTTCAGGATGTTGGGAAGTCCTATCAGGCTATCTCAGGTAAAGACTACCCTTGTACAAAGCATCATGGAATCTTCCCTTTCACACTCCTAACACCTTTCCCATTTATTTTAGTAGTCCAACAAGATGGTAGTGGTACACACCTTTAATCCCAGCAGATGCAAAGATAAAGGCAAAGGCAGAGGCTCAGGGTCTTGGGAAGCCTATTGCTTTTCAAGTACAAAGTGATCTGTACACCTTGAAGGAAGAAATGGATTATTGAGCAGCTTTATCAAAGACACTGATCCTCTTGGTAAGGATGGAGCCCGGCTCACCTAAAGCCCCACAACTTAATAGCAACACATTAGGGGTTAGATTCCAATATATAAGTTGAGAGTGTTTCTCAACATGTGAGTCACACACTCCACAAGGTCACATATAAGATATCCTGCATGTCAGATATGTACATCACTATTCAAAACATTAGAAAAATTACAATAATGAAATAATTTTATGGTTGGGGGTCACCACAACAAGAGGAACTGTATTAAAAAGTACTAATATTAGGAAGACTGAGAACCACTGATTTAGAGAAATTAAAATATTCACATCATAACAACACTCATCCCTTTTATTCCCTATAACAGTATTGTGAATTTTTCCATCCTATGAACCATTATTTGCAGTTATGTATTCCAGTGCTCTTTTGTTTATTATTTTACCTCCATAAATACAAAGATCAATTCCATACTATGCACAATATGTCACAAACCATAACATGCACATTAAAAGCTTTGCTAATGTTTAATGTATGAAAGAAAAACAAACTTGGGCGAGAAGAATTTGGTAATAGAAATAGGCAAAGAGGTCTTTCAGCTGACACAGGACTAGTAAACCAATATAACTGGGAGAGTTACCATCACTTCTGGATCAAGAGTTGAATTTCCTTTAGAGATTCAGTTGGGGAAGGAGGGAGTTTGTATTTACACACAAAGAGTCCAAGATGACCATAGCAGATCCAAGTGTAACCATTAGAAATGTGATAAGCTGGCTCCTAGGAAAGGTCAAAGTTGAAGTAAGAGATATGAGCTTGTCATTCCTCCAGGTGAAACTTAAGGCCCCATGAGGCCCTGTGCTCTGTTAAGAGAATGGTTGATGGAGGAGGAAGGAGCAGCACTCTGGAAACGGGTACTTATGATGGAAAGCCTGTCTGAAGAGGTGATTCCCCACCCCCCAGTATCTCTAGACAACTCAAATTCACCTTTCAACACACTCTCAAGTGCTAGGGCTTCTGATGCCTCTTGACACAAGGCAAAGCTAACCACTCCGTTCTTGGAATATTTGACTGGGATTGCCGTTTGCCAAAGCAACACCTCTCCTTCGTCACATTCCTGGGAGTACTTTGCGAAGATGTAGCTAGGCTTTTGTGCATATTGTTTTTATTTTTCCACACAGTCTCACTTTGACTAAGCTTGCCTTGACCTTCTGATCATCCTATCTCCCTCTCCCTAGTGTTGGGAATACAGTGTATGACTCCATGTCAGGCTTGTCCGTCATCATTTCCCCAAATGAATTCAGTGAACATTCGCTAACCAACTGCCCACTGGAGAGAATAGAGAAAGAAGACAAAAGTAAAAATGGCAAGTCACAAGTGAAGAAAGAGGGCTTGGCAGACACTGGAAATACAATGAAAGATGGAGCACATACCCTCTAAACTCCACAGCGTTCCTTCCTCTCTCTGCTGATAGAAAGTATACGTCAATCAAATACCTAATCTGTTAGGTGGTCACGGTTTTGCACACATCCTATTTGACCCCTGGAACAACTTTCTCAACTGGCATTGTCATCATGGAATGGCACAGAGACACAGAAGTCCGTCATGTTTACATATATTCAATAAGTGTGTGAGGTGAGGAGGAAGAGCTTTCTGTGAGTTTAGAAGCTCAATGTGAGCATCTTCTCCAATTTAAGTTACTAACCAAAAAGGCAGGCATTGTTCTACAACAATATGGCTGAGTCTAATTTGTAAGAACCCATTCTTTCTTCTCTATCTTGTAGCAGAACTGTGATATCTTGGGGGCTCTCTATGGAAATGAAAGTGGCTGCACCACGGAACAGAAGAATCTTTCTTCCTTATTCAGGACACTCTTGAAATTTCCAGGCGAATTGCACCATTACAGCTTCCAACTCGAGAATGCACAGCACACAGCACGTTCATTATTAGCACTCCATCTGAAATAAGCAAGCCGGGAACTAAAAATAGCAGATAACTAAATGAGCCGTGGAGAACCTGGGGAGCGTCTCTCTTTCCCACTCAAAAATGACTCCCTCAGCAGGAAGCTATATTCATAAACTTCAAAAATATTAAATGCTCAAGCACATACTTTTTTCCAAGCATTCCTTCTAGTCTTTTGTCCAAGCCATTAGACAAAAAAGCAGGTTAAAATTGCTTAACACACTATAATAGGTAACTCACTGAAGTTAGCATTTTTATTTTCTTACCTTTTTCTTTTATCAGACTATTTACAAAATACTCTCATATTGTGTGTATGTGTGTGTACGAGTGTGTATGACTGTGTGTGTACGTGCACTATGTATGTGTAGGTTCCTATAGAGGTCAGAGGGGATGTTGGGTCTCCTGGAACTGTAGTTACAGTGTGAACCACTCAATATGGGTGCTGAGAAATGAACCCAGGTCCTCTGAAAAAGTCACAAGTGCTATTAGCCTCAAAATCACATCTCCAGCTTCCTCTATCTTTTTCTGGTTTTGGAGACAAGGTTTCTTTGTGTAACTTTGGCTTTCCTGGAACTTACTCTGTTGACCAGGCTGGTCTCAAATGCAGAGACTCCTTGCCTCTGCCTCTCTGCCTCTCTCTCTGCCTCTCTCTCTGCCTCTCTGCCTCTGCCTGGATTAAAGGTGAGTACCACCACCTTCTTGTTGGACTACTGAAATAAATGGGAAAGGGGGGTTACCTAAGATAGCTTGACATATTTGTTTTACCAAGCGAAACTGTAACCAGAAGCTAGGAGGACACAAGAGTTCTGATAGAGAATCAGAACCGGAAAGCAACTTTTGAATCACCCAGACTATAATCCTTAAATTAGGACAGATGACCCAAACATGAAATGCAGGAGATATCACTAACACAGAAAGATTACAGTTTGAGTCAATGCCTTGATATCTGAGGGGCTAGCTGTAATGCTGCTTTATGCTAAACAAATTATTGGTCCCTGTGATCAAGGGAAAAGCTAATAACAACTTTTAAAAGATGGATACGGTTGGTTGGGTACTTTCATACTGAAGCAACTATTTTATGTCATGTATATATGTTAGTTTTCACACTGTGCCCTACAAGTCAAGAATTTTAAATGAAATAATATGTGAGAAGCTTTATCATATAGTATCATTTTGCTAATGATTAATATTATATGAGTAATCCTAATCAGGCTAGGCAAATGGCTCGGTGATTAAAAAGCTTGACTCACAAGCATAAAGACTGCAGTTTAGATCCAACAGCATCTGTGTATGATAGGAATGTGGGACAACCTGTAATTCTGGCTTCAGAAGACAGAGACAGAACATCACCGGAAAAGTTGGCTAGTTAAATGAGCCAAATTGGTGATATGTGGGTTTGATTGAGAGATCCTGCCTCAATGAAGAATGGAAGGGCAATCAAAATGACCCCTGACATCCATCTTGGGCCTCCATATTTATATGCACCATGTGCATATGTACATACACAGGCATGCCAATACACACGTGAAAGTGCATACAAAAATAAACAGACACACATGCATACATGAAAATGGAGAAAAAAGAAGCAATTACTAAGCACAAGTAACAGACTGGCTAGCTTCACATCAGACAGTCCCTTTCTCAGCTGTAGGAATTTCAAGATGGCAGGTAGCCAAGTGGAAAGCTGGCTTTTGTCACTCCCCAACCACCATTAAGAATGTGTGGCAACTTTGCACATGCTGAAAGGGCCAAATGAACTGCAGTTCAACTACTCCCTCACCCCTCAAGCTGACCAGATTGAAAGAACAAATGCTGATGTGATAATTGAAACATTTTGAAGGGACCACAAGATTACATGCCTTTTGTGAGTCAGAATCTGGACAAGGCCCACAGCCTAATTTTTAAAGAATGAGTTCTGAAATGATGAAGAGCTGATTCCAGTTAGAATGCTTTTTGAGCTGCTTTGTAAAGTAGGATTAGCAAGCATGTTCATCTGGTGCCTGTAGTTTAAGCTCTGATGTTCCTAGGATGCAGAATTAATGAGTTTTGTTTCACTGGTAGCCTTCCAAGTCCAGAAGATCAAAGAAAGGCCAGAGATAAGTACATGGCACCGATTTGCTAATGATAACTCAAGTAGGCTTCAAACCATGCTTCCGATGAGAAATTATAATATCATATTATCACTAAGTGGATTAATTCAGTTATATCATTTACACCACATAAGTTTTTCCTTTTTAAAGTAAAATGTTACCCAGGAATTTTAACAAGGAAAATCTAATGTTAAATGGAAGTACATAAAATGCACTTATACTTAGAAAAATTGGACAATAAGAAATGTTTCAGAAGGACTCCAGAGCAGACCATTTGTGGACTGTGAAGACAGCTATGCTCAGGGAATTGAAAAGCAAACCTTGGTTCCCTCAAGACTAAATCGAAGGTCAAGTCTGAACCATGCAGAGCTGAAACTCCAAGTCCCCAAACCATCTGAACCTCTAGGTCCTTATTGTTAAAATCATAAACGCTGTGAAAACCTTTGTCCATGAAATAGTAACATTACAACAATTACTAGGTCAATTTTAATAGCTTGACTCTCAGAAATTTCTAACCCTGCCAACAACACTGGCTTTCCCTACCAACCCTACAAAATTCACAACACAAATTACACTTCAGTCCAGGATATTTATGAAAGAAAATTTACCTTCATACAACTGAAGTCATTTCATTTTCCTAACTTTAGGGAAAAAAGTCTTCCAAATTTCTATCACTGTTTACAGTTCCTTTCAAATCATAATAAAACCATGTTCTAAGAGAATAACCCACCTCTTGAGTGGCTCACACAGCTCCTCAGTGGACGCCTCCCTGCTCCCATCATAATTCCTCAGTGACCCTCTCCCTGCTCCCACAACTCCTCAGTGAGCACCCTCCCTGCTCCCACCACAGGTCCCCAGTCGACACCCCACCCCAATCCCACCACAGTTCTTCCATGGACTCCCCCCTATTCCCACCACAGTTCCTCAGTGAGCCTCCTCCCTGTTCCCACCACAGGTCCCCAACCGACCCACATGCTCGTAGGTGCAGAAGCTGAAAATCATTCATAGATTCCATCACTTGGCCCTACTTGGCCTACTATTAGTAGCCAAACTCCCATTCCAAAATGACTTGTAAACACTGGTCTATCTGGAAATAAAAGTGAATGGTAGTTTTATTCAAGGGGGTAGATTCAGGGATTTAGAGGCCCCTTTCTGCTTAAGTGAAGTTAATCTACATTTTTGACTTTTTAAAATAAATGCTTTAAAATGTGATCTAAAGAGCTTAAAATTCTATTTGGCATCTACAATAGTTCAGGTTTACTTTATCTACTTATTTCAGAGTTGTCATTTTACTTTGTTTTGTTTCCTTGGGGTGTGTGTGCGCGCATGTTGCACTTGTGTGTGCTCATATGTGTGCAAGTCCCCATGCACATATATATGTGAAGGCCAGAAGATAACTCCAAGTGTCACTCCTCAGGTGCCATTTCTCTTTCCCTTGAGACTGCCTGGCTTTTCTGTGTGGGTTCTGGGGATAGTCCTCATGATTGTATAGCCAGCACTTTCCCACTGAGCTATTTTTCTAGCCCCTGCTTCTCTATGTTTAACATCGCTGTTTATAAAATGTCCAACCCTTGATAATATATTCATTAATGAAATCATATGATTTCCAAAACACAATAAAACTTTTGGGTAAGGAACATATGAGCTTATTTCAAATGTTTGCAAATCACGTCAACTTCTGACTTAAGAGACAACTGGTTATCCTTAGTGCTTCTGCATTCAGAAGCAAGCACAGGTCACACCGTCTCTAGAAATGCAACTGAATACTCAGAGATAATGGGCACTAAAACAGGAAATGCTGTTTATGTTGGCACTATAGGTAGGAGCTCTCTAAGAGGAATGAGAAGCCAGCCCCACTGCCAGGTTTAGTCTGCAGAACTGAAAACAGTTTCAGTATTTCTGTTGACTCTATTCTAAAACCAAGTCAATATATTTGTTTTCATAGGATAAAGGCAACAATATGTTGTTGTGATTAAATTCAAATTCTACTTTGCAGGCATTTAACTGAATTGTTCAAATCAATTACATTGCTCGAGGGGAGGTTGTAATCACAGCTTAACACACATACACCTTAAAAGAGACCCTTAACAACACTGGAAAACATATTGAAAACTGAGTCATGTGGTTGCTTAAGAAATTGTATCCTCAAATATTTGGCTCTTAAAAATTCTTTCTGCCTTTTCTTTGAAATCCAAGGCCAACACTGTATTTGTAAGTGATATATATATATGGCTTTGTTGATATGTGTGTTCAGTTTCTTTTTACTTTGGCTTACTACTGCTAAGTGGAAAAATGGTTTTACTAATGGAACTGTATTACTACTAATATTTTTAACAGCCTGGTACCTTAGGTGTTCTAGAATTGTGCCCTATTTCAGACCTATGCTAATGCAATGAAAGAAATAAACAATAGGCAATGCACTTAAATTGAAAACATGAATTTTTAAAACCAAAAGTATTCAAATTTGTAAGAGAACATTAACTATAAATGAAACTTCTATGCCCGCTGACAGCTAGGCATCACCCCAAAAGTTAAGTACACACTAGTTTTGGGTGTTAGATTTGATGACCAAAAAGTAGCATCAGTACCAACTAGCCAGCTCATGGCAGAACGTTTATACTTCTAAGGCTGTGGTAATCCAACACGTTTCTCCCTCCTCTTTTCCTTACCCAGCTGCTCAGAGGAAAGGAAGGGAAGAAAAAACACCTACAGGTTTCTCAGTAGAAAGCTGCTTGCTTAGATAAAAACCCTTGCTGAGCAGCACTGGAAGACTTGTCTGTGTTCCTCCAGGTTCTTCGCAGCAACAGCTTGCTGGAGTCCACGGACTACTGGTTGCAGAACCAGAGGACGCCTTGCCAGATTGGGTTTGTGGACGACGAGTCTGAAAACTGTGCTTCGGTAAGTGTGCGAATGATGCGGGGAATACTGTCTGATAATGTGGGAAACAGAGGCAGGTACCTAAGACAGAAACTTCACAATGTACAATAACTTATTAAAAATAAGGCTTGGAAAGGATCTTTTTGAAAATATACAAGTAGCTCATGAGGACAGGCAGCACAATAACAGACAGCGTTTCTACATAGGTGCTTCGTTTAAATTGAACTAATGCAATCACTCCCATAAAAAGGAAAAAAATGCATTCTGAAAAAATATGACCCAGGCATAGATTCAGAAATAGAATTGCAGTATAGGAAGAAAAGTCTAAAACCTGAAGAGCTCTCTTGAATTCTTTCCAATATGTTTTATAACTTCTGTTAGAAGGTGTTTTCTGATATGAAAATTGAGCGAGAATTTTCCCATATACTTAAGGGTTACAGCTATAATTTGAAATCCCCCTCAACCTAAGAAATAAAAAGGCATGAATTTTAATGTACCGAGCTATACTGTACTACATGAAAAGCCTCTGTGAGAGGTGAAAAGTAGTCTTATCGATAAACTATATAACTCTTGGGGGCTTAGACTGTGAGTACACACTGTGGGTGTTTGGAGTAAACTATATCCTGCATTGTGACTAAAATCATCTAGCTTTTATGGGGTCGTGAGTACAAAGACTGGGGAGCTTTTCCAAAGAGGGCAGAAATGCAATGTATTTCTCTTGACTAAATTGAGAGCACCACCTCTGATCTATTCCTGGAGGTATGTTCTGTATAAGAATATCTGTTTCAAAAGAAAAAAAACAGAAGGAGAAAAATGGGGTGGGATGAGCAGAGCAGACCTGGAAGGAAGAGTGAGAGGCATCATACCGTGGAGCCGTGGGGCTTTCGTGGCAGAGACCACCCCCAACACCCTTAAGTTGCTCTGTTTTTGAAAGGAAGCAGGATACGAAGGCCACCCCTACCCAAGAAGCTATTTGCAATAGAAATCTGCTGGAAATGAGAAAAATAGTTTTCTCCAATGTATATCAACTGCACTCCTAGGCAGGACCTGTGCCCAGGAGTAGCTGGCCAATACAAAATGGATTCGGTGGGGTGTAGGGAGCTTTGTTTTCATTATTTTTGTCTTACTTATTTTTTGTTTTTTTTTCTGATTTTAATTTTTTGGTTGAGCATGAGAGAGACAGAGAAAGAGAGGGGAAAACATGAAGTAGGATGTAGGTAAATATGGTGTGTGTGTGTGTGTGTGTGTGTGTGTGTGTGTGTGTGTGTGTGTGTGTGTGGTATAGATCTTTGCATGTGCAGGTAGAAGCCAGAGACTAACGTCAGATTTCCCATGCCCTTCCACTATTGCTCTCCACATTTTCTTTTGAGATAGGGCCTCTCACTGAGTTCAGCACTCACCGGATGGCTAGACTGGCTGGCCAGTGAGCTCCTGAGAGTTCACATGCCTCATTCCTCTCCACCTTCCCCTTTTCCCAGTGCTGGGGTTACAGATGTGCACAACTATGCCCACTTTTATGTTAGTGTCAGGGATCCAAACTCAGGTCTTCATGATTTCAAGGTAGGCATTTTAATGACTGAGCCATCTCCCCAAACATTTAGTATTTTTCATCACTTGTCCAAAAACCTAGTCGCTGGCCTAATTTTTTTCAGAAAAATGAGGAGGATTGAGTGGCAAATAATTCTATTGTAATGCCTTCTTTATAAATTCAATCCTGGTGTTAAAATCCAGCATTTGTGATGTGTACCCAATCATAGCAGTGAAAGTAGCAAAAGAGAACCTGTAACAGTAGCTGTGTTTTGGTCAAAGCTATCAACCAAATAATTGCTATATTGTGGTCTTCCATGTGTAGAATACATGAATGCTGGGCTACAAAAAAAAATAGTGGCTACAAAGCAGAAGTCTTCTCTGCACTCTCTATTTGGGATTGAAGTTGTAGGTCTACGATTTGAAACACTAACTTTCATAGCCATGGCATCTTCCTGTGTGCAAACACTTCTATCCATCATCGAACTGGACTTAGAATATAGGACTTCCTTTCTCCTTTGTTCTTTTCTGGTGTTAGATGGGACCCATAAAGTTTAATTGATTCATCATGCTATCATGCTTCTTCCTACTCTTTCTAAATGAGGAAAATCCTAAACAGAGGTAAAGACACATTAGAGTATTTGTCTCTGATGCTGCCTGGTCATTTGTAATGACTGAAACTGATATAAACATGAAGAATTATCCATATGTATGAACCAAAAATAAATTTCATGACCCTATAGAAAACCAGTCTCTTTGGCTAATGTATGCTATATTCACTTTTTCTTAATTTCCAGATTCTTTCTCTTTTAGCATGGTGAGGTTTATAAATCAGGGAAAAGAATCATGAGGTACCAGGGCTCCATATCTCTTAGAGAAACCCATATTTACAGGTGAAGTAGGGTAAACTATGGAGATACTGGGCCAGGAGAAGGAATTTCCAGCAAAACAACCACATAATGGAACCAAGCAGTCAAAAAACAGTAATAAATTCTTTTTTTCAAAGCCATTTCTCAGTGTGGCAGGTGGAACATACCTATACTCCCTGCTATTGAAGGAACATATGCAGGAGGGTCATAACTTCAGGGTTGTCTGGACTACATAACAAAAATCTCATTAAACAAAGGATAAAAATTCATTTTCTCACAACTCCATGAAAGTACAATGTAAATTGGAGCAAGCACTGTGTTAATGCCTGTAATCCCAGAACTCAGACAGCTAAAACAGGAGGATTATCAAGTGATGGTAACCAATCTGGTCTACATAATAAATTCCCAACCAGCCAGTACTACAGAGTAATATCCTGTCTCAGATACCTCCTTGGTTGGGAAAAAACGTGTAATTTAAAGGAAGATAAAAATAGTATGATTGAAAATAATCCCTTCATTAAAGTTTAATTTAAAAAATAAGCATTATGAAATTTTCCTAGCCTTAAAGTATTTACAGATAATCACAGCAGATCCCCCGAGGAACCTGCAGGGATGCTGTTTATTGCTCTGTCATCTCTCTGTTATTCTGGAAAGCCCAATACTAAGTGAACTGCTCTTTTGGCTATTTCTTCTGCACTCCTCTTAGTTGCTAATTTTATATAAAGAGTGTATTGGTTTGGTGTCACTGAATTTTTTGTTTGTCTTTTGTTTTTTATTTGTTTTGAGGACGAGCCTTAGCTTGGTAACTATTGGGGTGCTGTGTCCACCTATCAGTACAGATTTTGTTTCCAAAAGCAACCCATGAGATTTGTTTCTTCAAGAGGCAGGCTCATATGTCCCACAGCTAACAGGAAGACTCTGTTACCATTCCCTTTCTGTTGCTCTGACAAGCATCATGACCCAAACTAAGAAGAGAAAGCATCAGTTTACACATTGAGGTTACAGCTCATCCTTGAAGGAAGTCAAGGTAGGAAATAGGAAACAGAAACCATGGAGGAATGCTGTTCACTAGCTGATACAGCCCGAACCACCTGTCTAAGAATGATGCCACCTACCCTAGACTGGGCCCTTCTACATCAATCAAGTGTCAAAACAATCCACTCACAGAGGTGCCTGCAGATCAGCCTGGTCTAGGAAAGTCGTTGACTGAGATGACTCGAGGTGTTGAGTTGATGACTAAGACTAACCAGAATAGAGCAGTGTGAGGTGGTCAGAAACATGACAGTCCCTCTCCTCTCAAACAGGAGACACAGACTAGAAAGACTCTCTCTGTGATTGTTAAGTTTTCCAAAGATGTCAAGTATGATAAAAATCCTGCGTTTCCTAAACAGAGCTTCATATATCATGCAATGTCAATTCATTCTTTTTCCAAATTGCCATTCTAAAAATAGTTAAAAAAGAAGTCATGTACCAACTCTCACGGTTTTAGTTTTTATTTTCTTTCTTTTTCTTTTTTTTGTTTGTTTCAATAACCTGATTATTTAAAAGAAATGAAATGAGGACAATGGAATTAGAAGTCCACCTCCAAAACTCAATAGCCATGACACTATCATAGCAGAGATCTTCAAAACTGTTGACAGGAACTAGATATTTCATTATTCTTGCTATTTTCAATTCAAAGCTAAATGAGTCTTTATTGAATTTTGCTACATGCTAGAAATGAGAGAATCACCTTAATGCATCTACACATTATCTTGGTCATTTGTTTTGTTTTTATTCCTAGTTTGTCTTCATTAGAGTTTCTATTACTGTAATGAAACACAATGTGTAAAACAACTTGGGGAGGAAAGAGTTTATTTGGCTTATACTTCCACATGTTCGTCATCGAAGTAAGGAAGGGAACTCAAGCAGGGTATGGACCTGGAGGCAGGAGCTGATGCAGAGGCCATGCAGGGACACTACTTACTGGCATGGTCACTCAAGGCTTGCTCAACCTGCTTTTTTATAGAGCCCAGGACCACCTGCCCAGGGATGGTCCCACCCACAATGGGCTGGGCCTTTCCAGCCCTAAAGACTTGCCTACGACCAGGTCTTATGGAGGCATTTTTCTCAACTAAGGCTCCTTCCTCTCCAATGACTATAGCTTGTGTCAAGTTGACACAAAATTAGCCAGCACAGGGTCACTCTCATATTTTTTTTCCTAAAGATCATTTTAAGAGACACAGCTACTGTTCTTTTTATTGACAAATCATAGTAATTAAAAGGTATTTGTCTTAAATATGTAAATTAGTGGATGGAACTTTACAGTGGACTTCAGGATTCCATGAAAGGATGCTATTGAAAAGCTGATATTTGACAGCTGTCCTATAGCTCTGCCTTCTATAGCAATGGCAAAAATAGCAAAATGTCCAATGACTGGCCTTTACTTTATGTCATTTCTCTAGGTATATTCATAGTCTCTCATGAAACTCGAAAAAAGTTGAGAGATAAATACCTCATGTGCAAAGGTTTTGAGAGATCTAGACTAGGATGCTCAAGGAAATATGTAACTACAGAACTGTGAGACATATTTGTAGGTATTTTGCCCAGATATGACAAATTCTAAAGCTTGTTTTAGCTTATTTC